CGTTCTTGTTGATTCTAACTCCATAGACATATAGGCGTTAGGTTAGCTTGAATAGGCGAGTAAGAACTCGACAGATTCTTATGAGCATTAACCCTGTCAACCAATAAGCTAGATAAATTAGTCGGTCAATTCAATTGAAGAATACAATAGGATTGTTAGATAGCCCATAACCCTAGATCGTTTTCATTACATTGAGATCCTTAAAATCTGCTCTTTCTCTGTTCAAAGTCTATTATTTATATTTTTCTTATTTAATTAGTTAGAATAAAATATTTTTAGATTTAATTCTTATTTAGATAATTAAGATAGGCTAATTTAGTTAATAGTTAATCATAAGTCCTCGTGGGTTCGACATCCGACTTTTAGTCACTTTATTACTTGACGACCGCGTATACTTGCGTGAGTGTGTTTGGTCGCAACAGCTATACTTACAGATTCTTTCGTAAAAGCACATGCTGGAGCCATAAAGGCCGAAACCAAAAAGTCGGACTTTTTCAAGATAAGAAAAAAAGATAACGAGATGTTAAGAGAATTCGTATCTCGTTTCCAAATGGAACGAATGGACTTACCACCAGTCACAGACGATTGGGCTGTTCAAGCTTCCACTCAAGGTCTGAACGAACGAAGCTCGATAGCTTCACGACGGTTAAAACAGAACCTGATCGAGTACCCAGCTATTACCTGGGCCGATGTTCACAATCGGTATCAGTCAAAGATTAGAGTCGAAGATGACCAGTTGAGTTCTGGGTCCGTTATTAAAAGGGACATCAACGGAAAACAAAGGCTGATCAAGGACCGATATCTGTCGTATAGTGGAGATTATAGGGGTAACAAACCAAGATGTAACCTCGTACAAAGCAATAAAAAAAGTGATCAAGACCAAGGATCTCGGGGGTTGCCCATGTAGTTTGCCCGAGCCCTGGCACAAAACATAAACGCATGTATAATGACTTATAAGGAGAAATTTCTTCTTTACCGATATTTTATATCCCAGAAGGATTCCTCTATTTCGTGATATATTATGCAAACAAGCCTAAGGGTTACCTTAATTCGATTTCGAGCAAACACTCACTCGACTACAAAGCCCAAGGGCTACCTTATTTCGAGTTCGAGCAAGTCCTCACTCGACCGCTAAGCCTAAGGGCTATTCTTATTTCGAGTTCGAGCAAATCCTCCCTCGACTATAAAGCCTAAGTGCTACCCTAACTCGAGTTCGAACAACCATTCTCACTTGGGGACTATCTATCGAGCCTAAGGGCTACCTTAAATCGAGTTCGAGCAAACACTCACTCGACTACAAAACCCAAGGGCTACTTTATTTTGCGTTCGAGCAAGTCCTCACTCGACCATTAAGCCTAAGGGCTATTCTCATTTCGAGTTCGAGCAAATCCTCACTCTACTATACAGCCCAAGGGTTATCCTAACTCGAGTTCGAGCAACCATTCTCACTCGGGGACTATCTATAGAGCCCAAGGGCTGCCATTAATTCGAGTTCGAGCAAATACTCACTCTATTGAAAAGCCTAAGGGCTACCTTAATGCGAGTTCGAGCAAATACTCACTCGACTACAAAGCCCAAGGGCTACTTTATTTCAAGTTCGAGCAAGTCCTCACTCGACTACTAAGCCTAAAGGCTATTCTTATTTCGAGTTCGAGCAAATCCTCACTTGACTATAAAGCCCAAGGACTATCCTAACTCGAGTTCGAGCAACCATTCTCACTCGGGGACTATCCATCGAGCCCAAAGGCTGCCATTAATTCGAGTTCGAGAAAACACTCATTCGACTGAAAAGCCTAAAGGCTACCTTAATTCGAGTTCGAGCAAACACTCACTCGACTACAAAGCCTAAGGGCTACGTTATTTCGAGTTCGAGCAAGTCCTCACTATACCACAAAGCCTAAGGGCTATTCTTATTTCGAGTTCGAGCAAATTATCACTCGACTATAAAGCCTAAGGGCTACCCTAACTCGAGTTTGAGCAACCATTCTCACTCAGGGACTATTTATCAAGCCCAAGGGCTGCCATTAATTCGAGCTCGAGAAAACACTCACTCGACTGAAAAGCCTAAGGGCTACCTTAATTCGAGTTCGTGCAAATACTCACTCGACTACAAAGCCCAAGGGCTACCTTATTTTGAGTTCGAGCAAGTCCTCACTCGACTGAAAAGCCTAAGGGCTACCTTAATTCGAGTTCGAGCAAACACTCACTCGACTACAAAGCCCAAGGGCTACCTTATTTTGAGTTCGAGCAAGTCCTCACTCGACTGAAAAGCCTAAGGGCTACCTTAATTCGAGTTCGAGCAAACACTCACTCGACTACAAAGCCCAAGGTCTACCTTTTTCGTGTTCGAGCAAGTCCTCACTCGACCATTAAGCCTAAGGGCTATTCTTATTTCGAGTTCGAGCAAATCCTCAATCGACTATAAAGCCTAAAGGCTACCCTAACTCGAGTTCGAGCAACCATTCTCACTCGGGGACTATCTATCGAGACCAAGGGCTGCCATTAATTCGAGTTCGAGCAAACACTCACTCGATTGAAAAGCCTAAGGGCTACCTTAATTTGAGTTCGAGCAAACATTCACTCGGCTATTCTTATTTCGAGTTCGAGCAAATCCTCGCTCGACTATAAAACCTAAGGGCTACCCTAACTCGGGTTCGAGCAACCATTCTCACTCGGGGACTATCTATCGAGCCCAAGGGCTGCCATTAATTCGAGTTCGAAAAAACACTCACTCGACTACAAAACGCAAGGGCTACCTCATTTCGAGTTCGAGCAAACACTCACTCGACTGAAAAGCCTAAAGACTACCTTAGCTCAAATTCGAGCAAATCATTTCACTTGAACTTTATTTGTCGAGTCTAAAAGCTATCTCAGTTCGAGTTCGAACATTCGCTCGGAGACTACCTACAAAGAAAGGTCGAGTTCGAACATTCGCTCGGACCTTCAATTAATTATCCCGTGCTAAGACACTTTTTGGCCTTTGGAAAAATTAAGAAAGAGTTTTATATATACCAGAAATCATTTACAAAGGCACCATTGCCCGCCCAAGTTCTTTTTTTTACAAAAGACCAAAACGGTCTTAAAAGAAAGAAGAAGAATGCTAAAAGGACTTAGTCCTCTCCAGGAGCAGCATCTTCACCCTCGAGGCCTCCTTCGCTCTCAGAACCGCTCATACTCCCGATATCATCATCATCGGGAAAGGCCAACACTTTGGCTTCGGCCTCAAGCTCTTTTGCATTCTCGATCTCGACTGAAAGATCGAAGCCACGAGCGTGAATATCCTCTAGAGCATATGTATCTCGATACCGCCTCGCATCGACCAGCAACCGAAGAGGGTTTATCAACTTTAAAATCAGAATCAATAACACATCCTTGGGAATGAGTTCTTCAAGGCGTGGTTCCACCTCCAGTTTCTCACCGGCCGGCCGAGATGGGGAAGCAACCTCTTTTTGAGGAACGGTTTTAGATATCTTGGCCATCTAAATTTTCAAAGAGCAAAGAAGATGGAAAATTGAAATATTTTGGTGGTTGGTGAAGAACAAGCAAAGAAATTTTCAGAACTTGAAAATAGGTAATTTTGCAGAAGACGAAGAATTGTAAAAGTTTAGAATGAGAAGAGTTGAAAGTAAAAGTTTGAGACGATGAAAGAAGGAGACTATTTATAGGTGGCACAATGACGGTTCAAAACTGGCAGTGGCCAACATCGACTGACATACATTTAATGCCTTGGTAACTGAACCGACGTGACATTTATTAGGTACGTCATGGTCGAGCTTGATGCGAACGTTAGTGTATATCTAGTCATATCGTTGGAAAGTCATATCGTTTCTCGCTATATTATTTCCGAGAAATGAGGGGACTATATGTATACGGTCAAATCCAAGTTTGCCCTCCGTGTAAATTGGTCAAGATTGGAACATGATAAACTGAGGGTCGTCATTGTAATATCGGGATAAGAAGCAAAGTCAGGTTATCGAGCTCAAGGTTCAGGGACCCATTGACTCGAGCTCGAATCAATATCGAGATGTGATATGAAGTAGTGTTATCAAGCTCAAGAGCCAGAGACAGATCAATACCGAGCCCGGTCAGTATCAAGCTCGAATCAATATCGAGCTCGAGATCCAGAGATCGACCAATACCAGGACCGACCAAGATCGAGCTTAGAGACAAAGAGTCGTTGCAGCCGCACTTAGGGAGAGAATCTCGGCGGGAATTAAGGAAAAACTAATTAATTAATCTATCATGGGATCTCCACTATGTATTTTTTATTATATCCAAAGTAGTATTTTTCTACTATATTAAGAATAGGTATCATTTTTGTAAAGAAATGATTGAACATCTAGAGAAGCAAACATTGATACACTCACATTTCAAAGATTATTACACTGATATATAGCAAGGATTATCCTTTTTGAGATTTGACATTGATTCATCTTGCTTGTTTATAAATCATTCTCTTTCCAATTTGGTTTATATTTTATTCCTTTTTTACATTCAATATTCGATATATATTTTTACTTATTTTTTTGATTTTGTACCGAGTTATACCACATATTCTTAAAATTATATATAAATTCAACTCTATCCGTTTTTGAGGTAAACGCAATATTATTCTGCTTTTCCAAAAACTGAAATCGTAACACTGTCTACGTTTTGTTTTTCTTCCACCGTCTATTTATGTTTTCGAAAACAAAGCCAATCGCCATCAACCGCTACAAAACAAACGAAACGACAATTATTTTATTGAAAGTTTGGGAAAGTTCATCACTTTAATCAGAATTAGGGCCAAAAGGATAGTCTGCAGGATAAATCAAACAGTCCACAGCAGATTAGTGCAATTTGGGAAATAACGCGTAAGACTACTGAGATTTCCAAGAAACTCAAATTGGTGCAAACCCACATGGAATCCGAGGAAGATGAAACCCCCTATCTACACTCAAAGCGGAGCAGACCCACAAACCATATTGCTCAATTTCCATCAACTTCAATGCAAGATTCAAGCTTCAAAATCCCTATTCTCCCAGCTGAACTCATCACTGAAATCCTCTTAAGGCTTCCAGTGAAAACCCTCTTGAAATTCAGGTGTGTTTCAAAATCTTGGCTTTCTTTAATCTCTAGCACCGAATTTGTCAAGACCCATCTTAGTATATCTGCTAATAACAAGGACTATACCCATCATAGGGTTATGTTGAGTTTTGTTCAACCTGAATACAATCTTAAGGACTGTTCCCTTAGTTCTTTACTTTATGGTTCTGTTACTGACGCGTTGGACATGGATTATCCCATGAAACACCCTCATCAATCTGTTTGGATTGTGGGTTCTATCAATGGGACGATTTGTCTTGCCATTGAGGAAAATGCCTTGTTTCTATGGAATCCATCTATTAGGAAGTTTAAGAAATTGCCCGACTCTAGACCTACATTAAAGTGTGGTTATTATTTCATGTATGGTTTTGGATATGATGAGCTTCATGATGATTATAAGGTAGTGGGTATTTTCTGTACTTTCGGTTCTGGCGGTTCCTATGATGTTGAGGTCAAAATATATGGTCTAAAGAGTGATTCTTGGAGAAATGTTGATGATTATCAGGGTGGGGTATTACTGAATGATTCGGGTAAGTTTGTGAACGGAAAGCTTCATTGGGCTACTACTGCTGGTCTTGGCGTGTATAATGGCTGGGAAATCATTTCTATTGATTTGACTGATGAGAAATGGGGAAAGGTGGAGCAGCCCTGCTATGGAGAAGGAAGAATTGATTTTGTATTGGGGGTTTTGGGAGATGATCTTTGCGTGCTTTGTAATTATCAGAGAACTTGGGCAGATGTGTGGGTTATGAAGGAGTATGGCGTTAAAGAGTCTTGGACAAAAATGTATTCCATCAGATGTCCTAACGATCCTGGGAAGTATATGTTTTCTCCACCCCTTTGCATGTCAAATAAAGGTGAAATTTTGCTTGTGTTTGGATCAATTTTCATGAAATACAATCCTGATGATGACTCGATCAGCTATCCAGAGGTGACTAACTTTGATGCATGTCTTGAGGCGGAAATCTACATTGAAAGCCTAGTTTGCCCCCTTCTACAAAATGAACCAAGGACACAAGAACAATGAAGGCTGCAGAAGGTCAGATGAATGACAATCCTGTAACTTACAACATGTAAGAGCTCTCTTTTATGCAGTTTTTATAAATACTGTTTTGCTCTGTTTCTTTGTCAAATATAGAACAAGACGTCGCATACGGGACATCTTGATATCTTTTCATTTTTGCATAATTCCATGATACAACAATTAGTTGCAAGACCAATTATTCGGTTGTAGTTTTTAGTGTCTAACACTACGTAAATGGCATTGGATATTTCCTTTTCTCTTGTTGAGAAGTTTCGTAAGGTTTTTTTTTCCACAAAGTCAGCAGAAAGAGCACCAGAGACACGGAAATCATGCCAGGGGAATGTGCGTAACCCTTGACAGGGTTATTGTTTGATCTAGGGCCCACATTTACTAGTCTTCTTCGGTGAAACTTACAACAACAACAACATACCCAGTATTATGCCACATCGTGGGGTCTGGGGAGGGTAGTATGTACGCAGACCTTATCCCTACTTTTGTGAAGGTTCTTCAGTGAAACTTAACATGGAAAAAGAGGAAATATGGGAATATGGAATAAGAGTTAAAGTAAAACATCCAGTTCTGGTGTTTCTCCTTGCTGCCTATAGCTTACTGTTAATTTTCTTTGGGACTATCTTCTCATTCTGTTACATATTTGGTCAATCAATGGCTGAGTCTTCTTTCAGTTTTGTAATAACGTCGATTTGAACAAAAGTGAAGTGGAAGGAGAAAGCAGTTGAGGAGACTGATTTAGCTGTTATGATCACTAGAGTAGATTGGAGGTTCCAGTGAATAGGGGAATCTACAGAAAAAAATTGGAATTTAGAGCTTTTATTAAAGATGGTCCTGTCTTCTAAGTTACTAAAGTGCAAATTCTTTTCATCTTTGTTATTTTAAACAGGAAGTTTCCCAGCTATAAAGAACTCTTTTGTCTTGTTTGTAAATAGAGCAGCAAATGTATTGTAGTTTAACCTCTTTCAGCATTCTTAGGTGCTATGGCTATGTTTCATCAAGTGAGAGATGAATAGCTTTGTTTAATACCATCTCATAAAGAACTCTATTTCATTATGAAGTAACTTTTTATTGGGACTTTGTGAAATCTATACAAACTCAATGTAGTGAAGCATATACAAACAATGAAATATAGCTAATCCTTGTTGGAAACCAACTTCAAGAATTTGACACTTATGGATTTACTTATTGTTGTGGCTCTATTTGTCGAGTTTCATCCTTTGCGAGACACTAAATTGAGGAAAGAGGGGAGAAATTTAATGGAACAATATGAGGGGAAAAGGTTAAAAAGCCAACGGGTTTGCAGGTGAAAACTCTTGTGAGTCAATATAGTGGAGCTAGGGAGGGCCATGCCTTCTGTGAAGAGCTGATCAAATAACCCATTTTTTGGGCAGGCCAATATGTTGCACGTGGATCAGCATGAGTATCTCTTGTGACTCTTTCTTAATTTTATTCTCTTTTGGAATGTATTAGACTACAATACTACATATATCATTTGTGCACCATCTTCATGCAGTCTAGAGTCTAGACTTCAGATTACTACCTGTGTTTGTTCATCTTCACTGCTTAGAACGTGAACCGAAGCACCTCTGAGATATCTCAAATGTGGGGAAATGGAGCTTGTCTTTTTTGCTTAAACAAGGCCAGGAGCTTATGTTTGGTACTTGTTAAATGTAGACTATGTTGAGACTAGTTCTTCATGTGTTGCTTTCTAGTTCTACACTGCTCGTACTTGTCATATGAGTTGTCAATGAGGTTCTTTATTAACTGTTTTTTATTATTGAACTTTCAGGAAGTGAAAAGCTGCGTTAAGAACAACTAATTCAGCACGTGCCGACTGCATGGAGCGCAATGAGGAAGCATGGGTTTTCCCTGTTTTACTGTTCATTGTGATGTACTAATGTTATTACCATGTGCATATAGTTGGTAGCTTGAAATTGCATATCTCGTCGTTGATAGCTTGAAGTCAAGTTCCCCACAACAAAATGTGGAACAAGTTTCTCCTTCCCTTAAATGTCTGTTGTATGTAGACTGATCTGAATTAGATGTTGTTCTACCATCTGTTACTTATGATGATATTAGTTATAATGTTATCTTTGTCAACGAAAAGGAAAAAGAAGCCAAAAAGAGTTGTCCAATGATACATATTGAAACAGGCAAGCTCATGAAGTGATACATTTGTTGGTAATTTTCTGATATTGGTTGAGAAAACTGTGTCAACCAGCATTATCCCGTTTAAGGCTCGAGACACTAATTTAGAGCTATACAATGTTCATCATATGTTTCCTTTCCATGGTTTATACACTATTATTTCCTTTTCAACAAATGAGGTGACTATGCTTCTCCTGAATCGAAGGTCTATCGGAAACAGCCTTTCTACCTTCACATTGATTAATGGTCATCTATTTTTTACAGTAACAACATAGTTAGAAATCAATATTATCTGATTACCTAATATGAGGAATAAGAATAAGACATGTTTAAGATTTGATAATAGTGCTATTCAAGTCTAGAATAGGATCCAACAAGTTGAAAGCTTAATTTCATAACTTGATAGATTTAGTTTCATTAGTGGATCTAGCCTTTTGGCTCATTTACACTTACAATATGTGTACACAATTTTAAAATGTACCGCATTGATTTGTTTATGAACAAGACTATTGTGCAAGTATGTCTGCTACTCCTTGCAGACGAATTTTGTTGTCGGCTTCCTCGAGATAGATTTTGTTTTATAACAGGAGCCTCATTGGGCCTTTCTAGAGTTTGGCCTGCTTTTGGGCATTTGCAATTGTACCATATATTTGTGCCACCTTTTAACCTGTACTCTATTATTAAAAATTATTGATTTGGTAGCCAGCTGACAAAAAATCCGTAATAATATGACAATTACACCCCTGACAAAAGATATAAAACCTGCATCACGCATTAATCGCGTGAGATCTCCTCCTCTCCTCTCACCTTGAAGCTAAAACTTCATGCTAATGTAGCATGAAGTTGTTTCATGTTGAAGCTAAAACTTCATGCTAATGCATGCTGAAATTATTTATCCTGCAGTCTACAGTTTTGTCATGAGTTTTATCCGAAACTTCAGTCTAAACATGCTTAAGTTATTTAGTTCATTTGCTAAAACTTCAGACTAAACATGCTTAAGTTTTTTAGTTCATTTGCTAAAACTTCAGACTAAACATGCTTAAGTTATTTAGTTCATTTGCTAAAATTTCAGACTAAACATGCTTAAGTTATTTAGTTCATTTGCTAAAATTTCAGACTAAACATGATTAAATTTTTGTCTTGCAGTATGTAATTTTCTAATAAGTTTTTGCTAATGCATGCTAAAGTTATTTAGTTCATTTGCTAAAATTTCAGACTAAACATGATTAAATTTTTGTCTTGCAGTATGTAATTTTCTAATAAGTTTTTGCTAATGCATGCTAAAGTTATTTAGTTCATTTGCTAAAACTTCAGACTAAACATGCTAAAGTTATTAAGTTCATTTGCTAAAATTTCAGACTAAACATGCTTAAATTTTTTAGTTCTTTTTGCTAAAACTTTAGACTAAACATGCTTAAGTTATTTAGTTCATTTTGCTAAAACTTCAGACTAAACATGATTAAGTTTTTGTCTTGCAATATGTAATTTTTTAATAATTTTTGCTAATGCATGCTGAAGTTATTTAGTTCATTTGCTAAAATTTCATACCAAAACATGCTGAAGTTTTGTCATGTAGTCTTGTAACGACCCGACCAGTCGTTTCGAGAGTTATAGCCCCGTTTTCCCCATTTCTACTTCGTTTTGTGTTATTCAGCTATATTATGTTATATCGGGTTAGTTGGTTCGGGTCCGGAAGGAACTCAGAGTGAAATGAGACACTTAGTCTCACAATGAAAAATTTTAAGTTAGAAAAGTAGACCGGATATGGACCTATATGTAATCGACCTCGGATTTGAATTTTGATGATTCCAATAGCTCCGTATGGTGATTTTGGGGTTAGAAGCGTGTCCAAAATATTATTTGGAAGTCCGTAAAGGAATTAGGCTTGAAATGCCGAAAGTTTAATTTTTTGAGAAATTTGACCGGGGGGTTGACTTTTTGATATCGGGGTCGGAATCCGATTCTGAAAATTGAAATACCTCTGTTATGTCATTTATGACTTGTGTGCAAAATTTGAGGTCAATCGGACGTGATTTGATAGGTTCCGGAGTCGTTTGTAGAAATTAGAAATTTCAAAGTTCATTAGGCTTGAATTGGGGTGTAATTCATGGTTTTAGCGTTGTTTGAGGTGATTTGAGCGTTCGACTAAGTCCGTATGATATTTTAGGACTTGTTGGTATATTTGGTTGAAGTCCCGAGGGGCTCGGGTGAGTTTCGGATCGTTAATACACTGGATTTTTGGACTTGGAACTCTGCTGGAATTTTTCTGATGCACCATCTGGTTTCCTTCATCGCGTTCGCGAGTGGAGCCTCGCGTTCATGAAGAGGAACTGAGAGGCCGGCAATATTTGCTCTTTGCGTTCGCAAAGAGAAGCACGTGTTCGCGAAGGGTGGACTAGGTGTGCATCGTGAACGCGAGAGGTGTTACGCGTTCGCGAAGAAGAGAGGAAGCAGCCGAAGACCCCAGGCAATTGGTCTATGCGTTCGCGTAGGGGGTGTCGCGTTCGCGTAGTGAGCATCACGTTCGTGATGGTTTGAACACGTTCGCGTAGAAGGCATTGAGGTAGAGCCTTTTTGTGCTTTGCGAACGCGAGGGTGATGTCGCGTTCGCGAAGGAGGAATTTGGACGGGAGCTATTTTGTGCTTCGCGAACGTGAGGCACTAACCGCGTTCGCAAAGAAGAAAAGCCTGGGCAGTGAGTTTAAGTTCTGATTTTCAGTTTTTGACGATTTGGAGCTCGGATTTGAGGCGATTTTGGGTGATTTTCAGAGAAAACAACGGGGTAAGTGTTCTTAACTCAATATTGGTTAAATTACCCGAATCCATGATTGTTTTTACTATTTAATTGGTGAATTGAGTTGGGAAAATTTGAAAACCCTCTTGGTTTAAATTGAAGATTTGATGGTCGAGTTGGGGTCGGATTTTAGTAAAATTAGTATGGTTAGACTCGTGGTTGAATGAGTTTCCGGATTTTATAACTTTTGTCGAGTTCCGAGACGTGGGTCCCACAGGCGATTTTTGAGCTAATTTTCGGATTTTTATGAAAAATCATTAGTGGAATTTATTCCAATGAATTTTATTGACTGAAACGACTTATTTATGACCAGATTCGAGGCATTTGGAGACCAATTCACGAGGAAAGGATATTGCAGAATAAGAATTTCGCGGCTTGAAGTAAGTAACGATTGTAAATCTAGTCCTGAGGGTATGAAACCCGAATTTCGTATCACTCTACTATTTTGAAGTGACGCACATGCTAGGTGACGGGCGTGTGGGCATGCACTATTGGGGATTGTGACTTGGTCCGTCCCATAGCAACTGTAAAGTTGCATATTTTATGGAAATTATATGATACTTATATGTTTTAGAAAGAATTTCTGTAAATTGGGTTGAATGCCATGTTTGGGCCTTGTGCCAGTGCTGTTTGGACCCTTAGGGGCTTTTTCTTACTATCCTCTCATTATTTTCGATTGAAAATCTATACTCAGTCATGTTTATACTTGTTTACCGCATAACTCAATTTTGTGACTTTATTTTGATGCATATAAATGTTTTGGGCCGAATGCTCTGTTTTACTGAAATGCCCGAGTGGCTTGAGAGGTTTATGACTGAGTGAGGCCGAGGGCCTGATTTGTGAATATATTTATAGGATCGGGTTGCACGCTGCAACATGTTTGATATCGGCCGAAGGCCTGATTGTGAGGATGAGTGTGGATCGGGGCAACCCGCCTGCAACATACTTTATTATTATAACACGTGAGTTGTCCGTGCAGATTATTAGCGCTTGGGCTGAAGGAGCCCCTCCGGATTCTGTACAACACCCCCAGTGAGCGCATGTACCTACTGAGTACGAGTGCCGAGTGCTGAGTGACTGAGAGGCATGAGTGATTGTGAGGTATGTCCGAGTGGCAAGAGTGATTGTGAGGTATGCCCGAGTGGCACGAGTGACTGTGAGGTTTGCCCGAGGGGCTGTATATGAGTGATGTTTTGCCCGAGGGGCTGTTTATGATTTTATCATTTTTGCTCACCTTTGCATTGAGCCTTTTTTTGAAAAACTGTTGGAAAAAATATCTTTAAATGATTTTTACTGAAATCGGGTTTAAACGAGATGATTTGATTCAAACACTGATTTTTAGAGCATGTTGTACTTTACTTAGATTTCATGATATGAACGTTATATGCTTTATTGCTCGTCACTACTGCTTAGTCTTTATTTATTATTGTTACTTACTGAGTTAGCGTACTTACGTTACTCCCTGCACCTTGTATGTAGATTCAGGTATAGCTGGATACGGTAGTGGTTATTGAGTGTTCTGGTTGTAGATTTTCTTGGAGATAGCAAGGTAGTTGTTTGGCGATCGCAGCCCCTGCTCTTCTCCTTCTTATCTTCCTCTAGTTGTATTTAGCTATTTTTCATGCTGATTTAGCCTTGATATTGTTAGACAGATTATAGTAGATGCTCATGACTAGTGACACCCCGATGTAGGACTTTTTCTTCCGCACTTTTATTTTGATTTGAACTCCTTTACGAAGGTTTTTTATAGTAAATAATATTGAAATTATCTTTAAAAGGAAAATATCGGTTTGTTTTGAAAATGAGTCGGCTTACCTAGTTCCACGATAGGCGCCATCATGACAGGGGTTAGTTTTGGGTCATGACAAGTCTACAATTTTGTCATGAGTTTTATCCGAAACTTCAGTTTAAACATGCTTAAGTTTTTGTCTTGCAGTATGTAATTTTCTAATTAGTTTTTTCTAATGCATGCTGAAATTTTTTAGTTCATTTGCTAAATTTCATATCAAAACATGCTGAAGTTTTGCCCTGCAGTTTAAAGTTTTGTCAATAGTCTTCTATTAAAGAAGGGGAAAATCGTCTTTTTAAAACGCCTTTAACAAAAAAAATGGGTACAGATACAAATATAAAAACAAAATGGGTATAAGTTAAAAAGGGGCGACCAAATAGCCCATGCAATTTTTATCCTGCTTTTGCATTAATTCAATTTTTGATGTGATATATTGAGGAGTTCATTTTACACACTACACTATTCTTATAATGTTTGATCTGCCTCTACATAATGCTTTTCTCTCATAGAATTTTAACATTTTTTTTTCAAGTGAAATTAATGGCCAACCACAATTTTAACCTTTAAATACTTTTTTTTTTAATTTTATCTTCATTAAAAGAATAATTAATTGAACTCTACCAGTCTAGTCTTTCCAATGGTCTTAATATGTTAAATTATCATTGTAAGCATGTAATGCAAAATGCAGTCGCGTACCTATCAATGATCATGTCATCACCAATAACACTTACAACAACAACAACAACCCACTATAATCTCACTAGTGAGGTTTGGGGAGGGTAGTGTGTACGCAGACCTTACCCCTACCCTGGGGTAAAGAGGCTGTTTCCAAATGACCCTCGGCATCCTTCCCTCCAAGAACTCCCCACCTTGTTCTTGGGATGACTCGAACTCACAACCTCTTGGTTGGAAGTGGAGGGTGCTTACCATCAGAGTAACCCACCTTATCAGAAATCTATGAGCGTACTGATTTTCGTAATCAGAGGCTGAACTTCAAGTACTAGTCTTTTCTGAATTTTAAAATAATAATTTAAAGTACTAGTGACTGAATTCTAAATTTAATATTTATATATATTTAATTAATTTTTTAATATAGATTGTTTTAACAAAAACTATTCTGTTCAGTCAAGCCCGAAGCTCGACTTCTGCGTTCGCCATGTTCATAAGTCCTAAATGATAGCCATGTATAAAGGAAAAGTTCTTATGTTTGTCAAATCAAATATAGGCAGATCAGGAGAAGGCTGGAATTTAGGAAAATGACAATGCAAGTAAAAGTAAGGCAAATGAGAGAGGAAATTGTACCTTACGTGTAAGGTTCGCAAGAGACTCATTATTGAATCTAATGCGTTCACATCATAACCATATATTTGTTTCCTACACTTATTAATCTGTCCATACATTGTGCTGCCTCTTCTTCCACTCGTTGCAATATGATACCTTGTTCATTTATACTTGTTTACTGTATTAAAAATATATTTTTATTTTTAGTTATTTACTATACTAAATGAAGAAAAAAAATATTTTTTTATTTTATCATTATCATTAAATTATAAAATATATATTTTATTTATTATTTTTTAAGAAACGTGAAAAATTTAAATTGAATAATTAAAAATGAATAGAGGGAATAATTGCAATAAGCATAATTAATGTGACCCACCTATTTCAGGAAAAGATATAAATTGTAATAATGAGACAATACTTTCATATGATATCTTTATATTTCTGCAATTCTCTTAGGCCAAAAAAAAAAAACATTTCGCAAACTCAACATAAAGTTTTTCAAGAACAGCTTGATGCTATTGATTCTTAGTAGCAATGGAAACATCTGAAGGAACAAACCTTTTTCCCCAAGAATTATCAACCCTCCCACAAGAACTCATCATTGAAATTCTGGTCAGATTACCTGTCAAACTCCTCTTGAAATTCAGGTGTGTTTCAAAATCATGGCTTTCTTTACTCTCAAATACTGAATTCCGCAAAACCCATGTCAATTTTTCCATAAAGAATCCCAAAATGGCTGATTATACAATTGTTGGTGTAGCCTCAGTCTCTGGTTTAGGTAAAATCTGCCATGTTTACACCATACAGTGTGAAAATTCATTTATTACTGTGGCTAAACATGGTTGTCCTCCTAAATCTTTGCCTCTCTCGGCTTGGCTTTTGGGTTCTTGCAATGGTTTAGTTTGTTTAACTAGTGACTCATTTACGCTAATGCTATTGAATCCATGTACTGGAAATTTTAATGTATTTCCTGATACAATGTCTCAGTATAAAGTTGGTGCTGGTGGTTGTTATGTTAGATATGGATTTGGTTATGATGCATCTATTGAAGATTATAAGGTTGTCAAGATCTTTAGTTTTCCTCAGAGTGAGGGCAGACATGAGAACATAGTTAAGGTTTATAGCTTAAAGGCTAATTCTTGGTCGACTATTCAGGGTTTTAATAGTGGTCGTATAAATGGAATGGTGGGTGTGTTTTCAAATGGGGCTCTTCATTGGGATGTTTGTCATCCTCATATTTCGTGTGCTTCTTCGGCGATTATTACTTTGGATTTGGCTGCAGAGAAATATGGAAAAATAGCACTGCCTAGTTATGAAGATGGAGGTATTCATTGGACATTAGGCGTTTCAAGAGGGCGTTTAGTTGCCTGTTGCAACTATGAAACAAATAAGGCAGATATTTGGGTGATAAAGGAGTATGGTGTCGAGAAATCCTGGACTAAGTTGGTTGCCATCTCGTTGCCTGTTGATCGTAGAGTTGATATCACTCCATTGTATATGGCAGAGAACGGTGATGAAGTTCTGCTGAAGCTTGGCACAGAGCTAATACTGTACAATTCAAGGAACGCATCATTCAAGCGACTTGCCGATTATGTGTCGGGTGATTTCCTTCAAGTTCAAGTGGCCACCTACTTAGAGAGCCTTACTTCACCTCATATTTAGTGATGTGATGACAGGTTACGCCTTGAAGGCAAAAAAAGAGAGGGTAAAAGATCTTTCTGATTGCCTGGTATCCCTGTTCTCAAATTTATTGATAACTTTGTGCCGTCATATTTTTTCGCATTTTCCTTGTCTAGTAAGCAATGTCGGAGGAAAATTACACTGCATAGATAGGTTAAATTTTTATTCTATATGTATATTCTATATATGTTGACTCCCCTTTATTTCTTTGTATGTTTACTTATTTATATTTTGACTTCATTCCGTCACTGCTTGTAAGGTGCTTGGCCTGCAACATTGAACCGAGAAATGCTACAATTATCATGCTCAATTGGAGTTCTATATTTCTACACAATTCATATCATGGGCCATGTTGTTACAAAATCCTTGAATCCACTAAAGATCAATGCCAAATAGGAAAGATTTGGGGTAATAAACAGCTGCCTGAATGCATATTAAATATGTACTGATCATCTTCTCGTGAGCTTCATGAAAGTTCCTAGTGTAATTTGGTTTGTTTTGATAGGTTGTTGAACAACTAGGCTAGCAAGTTCCCTTTGGGGACATCCAATAAAAGAATTTGTGAATATACAAAAGAGTAAAGTAGCTTGTTACAATAAGGACACTTCTTTGCTCAAGTAGTTTTGAGGTTGATTCCTCGAGATCTACGTGCCGCAAGTTTTTCCAGTGTAAGTTTTGGCATGTTCTTCTCTCCAGGAACTGGGGTTATGCATCTCTCTGGTGCTCGTTAAATGCTCTCCCTCAAGAATTACACACACAAAAACAGATATGTGCGCGTGTGTGTTTGTTTGTGTGTGAGAGTGTTGTTTGTGGGGG